CGTGTGATGTGAAGCATGTAGGCTTGCGGGACGTGTGATGTGAAGCATGTAGGCTTGCGGGACGTGTGGTGTGAAGCATGTATATGCTTGCAGGATGAATGGTGTGAAGCAATGTAGGCTTGCAGGACGAGTGGTGTGAATCTCACCGGACATGTGGTGTGAAGCAACTCGGCTTGCAGGACGTGTGGTGTGAAGCTCGCAGTATGAGTGGTGTGAAGCATGTACGCTTGCAGGACGAGTGGTGTGCAGCCAAACCGGCTTCCGGGACGAGTGGTGTGGAGCTCGCAGGATGTGTGGTGTGAAGCCTGAAGGCTTGCAGGACGCGTGGTGTGAAGCACGCAGGATGAGTGATGTGAAGCAAAGTCGGCTTGCAGGATGTGGTGTGAAGCACGCAGGATGAGTGATGTGAAGCAAAGTCGGCTCGCAGGACGTGTGGTGTGAAGGATGAAGGCTTGCAAATGTGTGGTGTGAAGCATGTAGGCTTGCAGGACGCGTAAATCGGCTTCCAGGACGAGTGGTGTGAAGCTCGTAGGACGGTGGTGTGCAAAGTCGGCTTGCAGGAAGTGTGGTGTCAGTTGCAGTAATCGTAGGGCGGGCCTCATGCTGGGATCCCCTTCCGCCTTGGAACGGGATGCGAATGAGGGCAGAGGAATGCGGCGGGAGGCAAAGAAGGGATGCAGCCGTTTCTGGATCGCCGCAACGGTGACTTGTTGCACATTGCCCAGGACAAGGGCCAAGACCAGGGTAGTACAGGGGTGCCGACAAGGGTCTATGGCCCCTGTCATTCAGCCCACCACCCGCTTCTTTGCTTCACACCACCAACCTTCACCCCGCGATTCTCCATACCATCGCACTAGACACCCCTGTCCACGTTTGCCTGCAACGCGGACAGCCTCGTCTGGGCGCCGACAATGGATCATTCTGGGGGAGGTCCTGAAGTCAGCTTGGTTCCATTTTCCATCGTAGAAGCCGCTGCAGTGTGTCGAGGTGCCGGAACTTGCCTCACATGAGAATCAGGTAGAGACGGCGGCGGAAGGGTCTAGGGCCGACGCCCCAGACCCTCTCTGTCCAGTCTGTTCTCTCACCTTCTCCCGTCGCGCACTCGCACCGTACTTCACTCTCAGCCTGCGAAGAAGCAACATTAAACAGCAAGTAATTGGCCAGCCACGACAGCATCTACCACCCACATTCGTTGCTCGCATCGTCCTGCCTCAAGGCACTGCGATCTGTCCGATACCGTCACATTCTGAACAAAGCGCCGTCCGAATTGTGCCTTTCATCGATTCTTTAAATCCCGGCGCAGTATTGCACGCAGAATACCGACCAAGCTGCCGATTGAAGTATTAAGCTTGCCATTCGCCACGACTTTCAACGCATGGCATTTAGCCGAAGCCTCACTGACGGTTTGTACTTAGCTAGGGAAAGCACCATCCGCAGTCTCCAGATACAATCACGAAATTGCCTCCAAGATTGTGGACGGTCGGCCACGACTGAGCCACCGCGCGATGATGATTTACAAAGGTAACTCAGAGAGAGCTTGCCGCAACCTTGCCTTTGAGTTGTGAGGCAGCTACACCTCCACGGCAACGTGCTGTATGCTGCGGCACGCCGCTGCCGCTATAAAGAAGAGTAAGCTGGTCCCCTGAACTAGGACGAAGAGTCCGAACTTTCTAGCCGCTCTGCACCGATTCAATAGCACCGGATTTGACCTTTGAAGGTCTACTTCAGTATCCTGGTAGACATAATTCGTTGCTGCGGCCTGCACTCATTTCGTCTCTGAGCGGCGACCACTGGAGTCAAAGTTCAGATCAGAGTTCAAAGTTCCAGACTATACCACGTGACTCCAGAAAACATTGTTCTAGCACATGTCAGACGTACGGTGTGGATACCAGCACAAAGTTGTCACTGTAGAAGGAATGGGTGTGAGGGCAGTTGCCCAAGTGTATTGGTCGTGATGTGTTCTGCTCCTTCTCTGGCCACTCCATGATTCCTTTTTTCCTCTTGTGGGTTACTGGGAAGCTCATCTCGCTACACGCCCCTGTATGCTTTTGTCCGGTGCGAGTGGAGTTATCCACGCCTGGTAGTGCAACAGCATACGATGATGCTCGTTGGGCGGGTTCATGTTAGAGCACTGAAGCGTATTCGTTGGGCAACAGAAAAGGAGCAGCAGAACGATAAAACAACTCGAGCCGCATGCTGGAGCGGAGGCAAGAGGCGCAGTCGGGGGCGAAAAAAGCCGCGATGCGCCCTTAGGCGGCACTGCAGCCCGATACAGATGCACATTNCGCTGTCCGAATTTGCCCTTCGTCAATTCTTTAAAACCCGGCGCAATATTGCACGCAGAATACCGACCAAGCTGCCGATTGAAGTATTAAGCTTGCCATTCGCCATGAATTTCAACGCATGGCATTTAGCCGAAGCCTCACTGACGGTTCGTACTTAGCTAGGGAGAGCACCATCCGCAGTCTCCAGATACCCTCATGAGCTTGCGTGGACGGCCGCTCACGATTGAACCACCGAGCGACGATGACATACAAAGGCTACCCAGGGAGAGCTTGCCGCAACCTTGCCTTCGACTCGCGAGGCAACCACACCTCCAAGCCGACGTGCTGTATGCTGCGGCTCGCCGCTGCCCCTATAAAGAAGAGTACGCTGGTCCCAAGGACTCGGACGAAGAGCCCGAACTTGCTAGCGCGCTGCACCGATTTAATGGCGGCACTCACCTCGTCCCTGAGCAGCGACCACGGGAGTCAAAGTTCAGATCAGAGTTCAAAGTTCCAACGTCTATCACGTGACTCTTGAAATCGTGTCTTAGCACACCATGATGCCGTCGAGCGGGTTCATATTAGAGGACTGAAGCGTATTCGTTGGGAACTCGACCCGCTTGTTGAAGCGGAGTCAAGAGGCGCACTATACAACGTCGCGATGCGCCCGTAGGCGGCATAGCAGCACGATTCAGATGCACATTTGTCCGTGCGATTCTACAACTAGACAAATTGCTTCGTGCCTTGTGTTGCCTTGTTCTGTCACCACACTGCGGGCATTCCATGCTATCTTCTGGGCCAAGTTCCAAAGGTAATATGTGCGACTCAGTCTTTCTTAATGCCGTGTCACCCTGTGCTGCGGATTATGACAAGCCAGGGACGACGTACGGCTCGGCAATCGACTACCACTGGCCGTCAGTATGAGACACTCAATCTCTACCGGCGTGTCGTCCTCATCGAATGCGGACATCCGGTAATCTTTCATGAACTGCATGTTCCGAAGCAGACTGGCAACAGTAGTTCAAGGTAGTTGTTGCCCTGTGGAGTACCATTCAACGTTGTGGAATTCGTTTCGCCTGCCGTCTTCACCTGGGCAAATACATCTGAGTCGGCGATGCTGCCAATGTCAGAGCAGCTGGACGCTTCGCGCTTTGTACTGAGGAGCCGAACGAAAGACTTTATCATAGACTCCACGACAGATGTTTGTTGGTCGAATGGGCCAGTGCAATAGCGGCATCGTCATTGTCGGTCTCAGACACAGTTCGGGGTGTGCTGAGGTCGGGCTAGATCTGGCCATCATTGAGCAACCACAGAGTGGAGTAAAAACACTTGGGGAAAATTGCTCTGTAGCCTAACCAGTATAATCTTAACCATTCCACCACCCTGCAGCCTATATTCACATTGTGACTGCGTCGCACGGACGAGCTCTCGCGGCTTCGGGACCTCGAGATGGCATGATATTTCCCCTCGCATCACATTGTGCCAAGTGCTTCACCATCGGTGCCGCTGGTCACGGATGTAGTGAAGTTGAAGATGTCTGATTAGTGGGTAGCAGTTGCAGATGCCGACGTAGATGGAAACCTTTGCTGCAGTGGGAGGAGTCTCCGCCCGGGTTGAGACGTCGTCGATACGATACGATACGATACGATACGATAAGATAATTATTTAACGTCCGGGAGCTACAGTAATAGCTGAAAGCCCCTATTGGGGCAAAGGACGTGCTAGGCTGCTGATTCTAATGTACAAAGATGCTGCTGGATCGGGTTGTACGGCGGCTGGTTTCATGCCTGTTGTCTAGGTTAGCGGCCACAGGCGGCTTGCTG